AAGAATCTGTGGTGCGTCGACTTCACTTCTAGGATTCACGAAAAACAATCGAAACCCATCTCAAGTCCATAGAATCCTCAAGAAGATGCCGATTCTCGGGGAAAACGAACTAAAATTCAAGAAACGATAAGAAGAAAGGAAAATATGAGGATCTGCTTGCGGGGGCTAAAGTATTAACAGGAGGGTTGCAGATGGTGATGACAGCCACCCCATCACTCCAAACCTCCGCCGTCACCCGAACGGCCGCCATCCGATCGCATCGGAGGACCAAGAATATGTGGTACTTCGTCTTCACTTCAGGGATTTCTGCTGATCGAAATGTACGTCAACCGGGAAGAGGGCGACAAAGAGTCGCGCGCGAGAGAGAGAGAGAGAGAGAGACCGCTTGCATCGCGGACAGCAAACGATACTTATAGGTCCACCGGGTCGTTGAAATTTCCATTCAATTGAATGCTTACCAAGGCTATACCTTCTAAGTAGCTACAAGCCACGTGGACGGAACCGGTTAGTTAAACACGTCCCAATAGCACGTAAACGGTGATGAAGGGCACTACTCCCGACTCCATCGCTCCCGTGGCCATCCGTGGCGACACCACACAACAAAGTCGAGTTGCGTCGAATCTTGACCGCTCGTGGCCGTACGATGCCCTTCTGTATATTTCAACGGCAGGTATGTAGATAAGCAAAAGTGCATGGAAATGAAAGCATTTTCTCACGTGAATAATAATTCATGTGAATACTTACAGAGTTGTTCTTAGAGGTGCTCGGCACATTAGAACAAATGGCCACAGAGTGTGGTTCAGAGGATGAGACAAACGTCACTTGTGATGGATGCAGAGTACCCTACCAACGTTACCAAACCCATCGACTATATTATCATGGTATTTAAAATATATAACCACCATCGGGTTGCAGTCCATGTGTTTAAACTATGGCTCAACCTCAAGGCGAGAATGATGAAAATAAAGTACAGGTTGCAGTCCTTGTTACAATCACAGAGCACATCATAGGCAAACAGCAGCAGTCCAACATGACACACCTTTCTTAATGCTTCTTAACCCTTTTTTGGCATGGCAGCAAGCCTAGTATACATTCTTGCCATCGAGCGATAACCCCTGACATCACCTGACCGCAGAAGATTGCCTGCATGCATGAGAAAAGTTGATAATAATCAAATGCAGCCTGGTACCGAAAGGTGACAGATGAAATCAATCACTTGACACCACAAGGTTGTGGAGCTAAATATAGATAGGGAATCCATCTAGCAGATCCTAATCAGTTAGAACCATAAATTTCAAAAAGCATAAAGCAACAATGTACCAAACCTAATGATCAAGCAACATTCTGGGCACCTGAGACATAACCCAAACAATAAAACGAACAACACCTTCCCCATCCTGAGCAAGGATCTCAGTACAATTTCAAACTACATTTGAGAAAATTGACATGTCAACATAGTCATGCACATATGGGAACATACTGTGCATATTATAGCTTGTACAATCAGTGTGAACTTCAGGATTCTACATAATAGAAGGACAAGTTAGTTCTATAACGCATATAAACATGCATCCCATATTTATGTACAACCCCACATGTAGTTAGTGTATATATTATCCATAGACTAGGGAACCCCAAAGTTGTTTTACAGGCCGGGTATTAATCCAGGAGCTTAGGAGACAAATAATAATGACAACCGGAAGTAAAGGTTTCCTTTCATTTAGAGAAACTTGTATTAAAAATTCCTGCTAGCACTGAATATAACATTGGACTTCCTCTAACCTGCAGGTTTCTTCTGGAATGGATGAAGTACAAACATAAGCATGCACAAGAAACAAAGGAGACTGTTTGCAACATGCAAGTGTTAATTCTCAAAGTAATTTAATTTCTCTTTTTGATGTCAACCTCTTGAAATCAAAATTTATAGTTAACTCTAGCAAGTCTCTAAATTCAAACATACCTCAAAGAAAAGTGTCAGCAAGGGAACTTAGTGAAGACTTTTATAATTTTAGGCATCGGCAATAAAACTCTACCTACCTATTTTATCTCATAGATTTACTTAATTAACAGAAAAAAAAATCAACAGAACAAATACGAGTCATGCCTAAACTTAAATGCATCACTTATGGCGTTGTTTGAAACACCATTGAAACAAGATCGGCTAACCTGAATCACAATTGAGAGGGCTATCAGGTTCTGGATGGGCCATTAAAGCAATTATGGCCCTGCAAACAGATTGCAGAGTCCACGCAGGGCTCCAAGCATTCTTCAATATATCAAGGCAAATCTCTCCTGTCTAATAAACAAAACAAGAACAAAAGTTCTAAAAATTAAATGGACTTGGAATTAAACAAGAACAACTTTTCTCTTTAACCAAAAAAGCAATCAAAATAAATTGAAATCTCTCTGTCGCTGCTATATGTTTTATCTAAAATTATTTAAATATACATGTCAAATGTCAATTGAAATAAAAATGCAACAAGAAGATATGAAACATCTACGCACAAAAGTAGATTCTCAATATATCAATCATATGAAATTCGAGTTATACAACCCAAGTGACACTTATATCAATTATTAGGCATGACCGACAAAGAATAGCAAGTTTCCATTACTGTAATTTGTAATTTGAAAAGTTTTGCACTTAAATATTCTGCTGTTATCCGGAAAGGCATGTTGTGTCCGTAAGTGTTTTGCTGAAAATGTGGAGCAAATGTCAAATATCAATATGTCGTAAGTCTCATAGAACTTCATTGTAATTTGTCCAGACAAAAAGATAAGAGCAACTATAACCAACCCAGGAGCTCGCTTGTGGTGCAAGCCACTGAAACTGTGCTATTGACTTCAAGGGTACAACACATCAGGAATTTCCAAATGTAGTAGTAGATGAAGGGTAAGCTATCCAGGCAATCGTTTGTCAGGATGCCAAGTCTTGTCATGACTAGTCATCCCTCGCACATGCTAATTATTTTACTAATAATGAACAATCGCCATCCAGATCAAGTAAACATGCAGGGTTTAGTACATTAGGCTAAAAGAGTTGTCACAAGATAACAAAATCATTAGATTAAATTCAGATAATTTGAAACTTCCAGGCACCTAAGATGGAAGAGTCTAGCAACTAAGGGGTGATCACTACCTCATTTTTATAACAAATTGGTTCAATCATGCACCTTCCTGTTTTATTTTCAAGTCTAAATTAAATAAAACATGCAATATTTTAGTGGACATGAGATAAACTAACCTAATTACAGTAGGAGCTTGCTAACTCCAAGAAGGCAACAATATTTGCTACTGCAGTCTTTGTAAAAACATGTTAGACACATGCATCAGGTACAGTTACACTACAGCAGAGAAAAACTTCATAAACTGGCCAATTATTCCGTAAGTCCATCTCAAGTTTCCTGTTTGAACATATGTAAGTCCAAGGCACACAAAGATCATATCAATTATGCTATAAAACTATATATGCTTCATATTCTCTCTCGTAGTATAATTGCCTGATTAATTGACATGCCACAGTAGAAAATAAAAGGCACAGCTTCAGATTGATGTTGCTTAAATGATGGAGTATGCTAGAGAACACCAAAAACCCCAAATCTAGCCATATATAAGATAGTCAATGTCAAAACTATACTATATATATGCTTGCACACTATGCAAAGATCATAATTAGCAGAAAATACCTATAGTTTTAGTCAGATGAGATGGAGATAGATCTGCCAGGTACAGTACCAAATGGTTTTTGAAGAGGCACAGATTTGATGTAAATTCACACTGCTTATATCTAAATATGGCATAGAAATTCCTAAATTGAAATATGTATGGGTTGAAGACTTGACTGTCACACTTATATTTGATCAACTGGTCAACTAAATTATGATCAAGTTCAAAAGTTCAAGAAGGTGTACAAAGGCAACACTACCAATTTAATCAATAATTTTATAAAGAAATGCTCACCTTGAAATGCACATTGGGATGAAAAATTTTTGTCAGGAACCGCACTTGTGGAGGTAGTAAAGGGTACTGCTCTGGAATGGAAAATGCAAGCTGAAAAACACCACCTTCGTATGGAGTTTCTGAAGGGCCCTAAATGTAGTAAAAGAGACAATTACTGTGCAAAGGTCCTGAACAAAAACAAAATATAGAATTTATGCTGTTACATTCTTACCTTAATAAGAGCAGTCCACTTGTATATGTTAGAATCATCACAGACCAATTGAATATCTGGGTCCACTGCTTTCTCCCTCTGTACCTCTTTGTACTCCTTGAAAAGCCTAGCCCTTGATGCCTGTGGCCAACAAAAAAATCAGCCACATAAGCTATAAAGAAAAAGCATCGTAGATCCAGATGATGACATGAAGACCAATAACTAACAAATCTAGAGGAAAGATACTTGATTCAGCTCTGAAGCTTGATGATTATAGATCTCTCAAGACTTTATGCCATAGGACACTGGTAAACTTAGAAATCAGCCATATTTGCTAGCTGTCCAGAAGGATGTCAGACAAGACTTAAATACAAAAATGGACTGAAGCTTTAGATTTGGGTCACTGGATTCTTTATCGCCTATAGCTCAATATTAGACATTACCATCGGCAAACTTGGTAGTTATCATAACTGGGGAGCACACTTCTTATTTCAAGAGTTCCATAATGAACACGACTTCCATATCACAGAAAAAATTAGCTAACGTCTTAAGGTTTAGGGCCTCAATAATGCCAACAGTTGAGTTAATGATGGAAATTAAAGCAAGTTGTCATGATGTTCATGCCAATTGTAAACTATAAACTATACAAACCCAGAAAGGACAAACAGAAGGATGAAGTAGATGAACATTCAATTCGTTGAATGAGAAGCCAAAGAGATTGATTAACTGGAAGAGCCAGAATCAAATAAAACAGCAACAGACCAAAGACTGTTAAAAGGGGGAAGAACCAATTTCAGAATACCTAAAGATTGACAAGCCTGATCAAAACTAAAGGGAGAAACTAATGCTTAAAGAGACATCAGTAGGGCATCAAATGGATCCAACTGCAGGAAAAAAGATGCCGTCTCTGATGGTTTTGTTCAAGCAATTTATGGCTCTGTTTCTTCATGTTATTTCCGTGCACATTGATGTCAGTTTAAATATGCTTCAGAGCAATTTAAAGTACATCAAAAGAGAGCCCTTTCTGATTGTGAATAAAAATATTTTCTAATGGAAGAAAGTAATTCTTCGCAGAGGACATTAAACTAAAAATCTCAATTACTTGGATATGATAAACACTATATTTCCAATATCCAAAATGGTAAGAGATTGGGGTAGCACAGCAGGGCAACCATCACAAAGATACAATTGGCATAGATGAAGCAACAGATGAATTCTGTATGGTCATTTGGCTGGATTGGGCCAAATGGAGCTTAAGTTTTATACAAATAAGTTTAAGCTGAGATTTGTTCAAGTCAGTTCTTTTGTGGATTTTGTTTGAACAAAAAGAAACATGTAAATAACAAAGTGTTTTGCAATGTCTCAACAACACTTGTATCAGAAAGTCTAAACTAGCTAGTGCCATAGGCCTGACTAATAGTTCTAGTTAAACTAGGCTAGAATAAGAAGCAAGTGACTAACTGGTTCCTAAGGGAAAAAAACATAGATAATTATTCATGTGGAGCCACATAGAATTTCATTTTTCTTCCTTCCCTATACTATTCTTCTGTGCTGCTTTTATCTATCACTTATCAAATTTAACATATGCTTTTACAATTTATGTTCTGCAAAAGTAAACATCTTTTTGCTGCTTGCAAATTGGAATATGTCCCATTCTGTCATTAGGTCCCAATAATTTGGCATAATATCCAGAAACTACATCCAACAACCTTCTTAAAATCAAAGTTTATGATCTTAATATCAGTCATGATTTAAAATGATTAGTAAGATACCAAGATGGCACAGCAACATGGCAATAAGAGAATAACCACTAACCTGCATGATCTTTGAAGAGGAGGCACCCGAAAACTCAAAGCGCACAGAGACCAAAACAGGCTTGCAACTGCATAAAAATATTGTTAGGAGCTGTGGTAAACCAATAAAGACTTCTAATAAATAAATTTCATGAAAAAATCATGCAATAAAAAAAATGATCTGAAATGCAACAAAAGAGCCATGAAATTATTTATAAATTGTTACAACATTTACAACAATTCCATGCTAACTATACCGCAATCAAGACAACTGACACCACAAATGACTCACTTTTCAAAATATAACTATCGCTCAATTGTTCAAACTCAAGAATTCCTGACCTTTTTTGTTAAGCATTCATCCTGAAGAACATAAAACTGACATCTCCAAATCATAGAAAGGTGACAATCAGTGTAGTCATATGGCTAGGGGTTAAAAGGCGGCGCCAAAATGCTGGATACGCTCCCAAATATTAAAATTTAAAAATGAATAAATCGTTAATTATAAATTAATAGGTTATATAAACAAAATAACCAACATAGGAGTAGGAACAGGAGGCGGGAGGCAGAGAGGGGGGCTGTCGGCGTATGGGGAGGGGGTTTGCTGTCGGCAAGGCCAGCGGGAGGAGAGCTACCGGGGGAGTGGGGGGCGCCGGGGGAGGAGGAGGAGGAGGCTGTGGCGATCCGGAGAAGCTTGGCGCGGGAAACGGCATAAAAGCAGACCGGAGGGAGACGCTGCCGCCGTTCGTCGATGGAGAGGAAGATGCCGCCGCCGTTCGTCGATGGAGACGAAGATGCCGCCGCCGTTCGCCGATGGAGAGGAAGACGCGGTCGCCGATGATTAGGTTTCCAAGGGGCAGGGTCTCGTTAAAGAAAAGGGCATGAAATAAAGAAGATTCCAACATCGAGAAATTCGATCAAACAACCAACCATTCGAAAAATTCAATCATCGGAAAGATGATCGGCAAGTAAAAGAGAGGAAGTTTCGCCGTTACCTGCTAATCGGAAACCTCCAGCTTCGGTTTGGTCGATGGAAATATTATTCCATCCGCGTTTTAAATAGCAGGAGAAACAGTGAGAGTACGGCACATCGAAGACTCGTCTAGGAACGCCTTCCGGAACATCTAATCCGTCCATTACGATCGAGATCATAGATTCGACGGGTACGATTCTACCTTGAATTCTACTGTAAACCCACAGTAATCAAATTATGTAACGCTAGAGTATTATTATTATCAAAACAATAACGAACTCAACCATCATGTAATTTTTTTTATTTTTTATTGCTTTATTTTTTATTAAAAAATGGATTAAGATGTTTCGAAAATCAAATAAAATATTTTTTACTTTATTAAAAAATTTATTATTCTTGATTTGACATTATATATGTAAATATTTTTAAAAAATGAATACTATCAATATGGATTACTCGGATAAAAAAGATGAAGTATTAGGTTATGTTGTTGATAACCAATATAAAACTATGTCATATTTTATGAATATAAATATTAATCAGTCACTAAGAAATGACATAAAACACTTCCACCACCTATATATCTCAAATTGTAAATAGTGGACTAGGAGACCATCCAAAAATGGCCCATCACATTGGTGCCTAAACGTGAATCCAAATATATAAGAGGTTCTCTCATTATTTTGAACCAATTAGAGTAAGAAAGTTGGTGCAAGAACAAATGATTATGTTAACAATTCATAATATTTAAATACTTTTGGACAATGGATTAGAATTCATGCAATAGGTTAGCATTTATTTACTTACAAGAAACTTAATTGGTAGGACAAAATTAAAGAAATTGATAGTACTAGATTTAAAAATTTGATATATTCGAAAAAGTTAAACATAGAAATAATATAAGAATTATTGTTGATAAGAATTTTAAGAAAAATATTATAAATATAAAAAGATTTAGAGATAGAATTATAGTTTTAAAATTTATGAAAGGATAAAATGCTTTATATATCATTAATACTTATGCCCTTCAAGTTGGATTAGATTATCAAACTAAAAAAAAAATTAATAAAGCTTAGATGATATCATTTAAGAGATATTTATAATAGAAAATTTTTTAATGATAAGAGATTTTAATGATATATAGGGAAAACATATGATAAACATAAGGGGGTGCATCGGGACTTTAGTTATAAGGAGAGGAAAGAAGATGATAGTACAAATTTGAATTTTGTAACTTGTTATGATCTTATAATTATAAATATTTATTTTAAGAATATAGTTAGATTTTTTTTATTACTTATAAGAACAGTCACAACTATAGTCAAATAAATTTTTTTCTTACTAAAAAGGTAAATAAAGTTATCTGTAAGAAATATAAAGGTTATACCTAGCAAAAAATTGATGAATCAATATAAATTGATGATATTAGATATTTATTATAAAAAAAAGAGAAAGATAGTAGAAAAAAATATACTAGGATAATATGGTAAAATTTTAAAGATGATAATGTAAATAATTTTAAGAATACTATAGAAAGGAAGATCACTTGAAATTTATATGTAATCATGAATGATCTTTCTCTCTTAACATAAATTAAATTATCATAAATAATGTGTTACTTTATTTAAATTATTAAATTTTTTATTTATATAGTATGATTAAGAAAATGATTAAAATAATTTTTAAATCATGTGGATTAGTTAAACATTATATTAATGAAAAAATTATTAATTGATTTATTTTTTAATGAATGATATGATTTTTAGAAAGTAAATGGTTCAAATTTCATTTTTGCATGTGTGTGAAAGCAAATAAAATTAAATTTAAAATGTGATTATGTTAAGTGATCAATATTAGAAATGTAACGTAAGAGCTAGGACCTATCATAGTACATAGCCACCGATAGATATAGTCTAACAAGTCTTACACCAATATAGCTGAATGCCAATTAAAAAAAAAACACACGGGAGATGCAACCCGGTCGGGAAGAAACGAGCCCCGTTCGCTTGATGTAGGTCCCTCGATGATAGGAGGGGCAGGTCCACAATGGATCATTGCCAGCAACGCTTGCACCCCTCACCTGCATTCTCACATAATTAGGGAGGTTAAGAAACCCAACCCTTCCTTCGCTCAAGGCATGGAGGTCAGAAAGAAATAGACCCCCTCCACCTAAGGTGGGTCCCTAGATGATGAGATGGGTAGGTCAATGATGGATCTTCGTTAGCAATGAGCTTTTGGGAAGAAACGAGCCCTATACGCTCGAGGTGGGTCCCTCGGTGATGGGAGGGGTAGGCCAGCAATGGACCTTCACTCGTAGTGCTCGCACCTCTCACTTGCGGTTCTCATCGAACTAGGGTGGTTGGGAAACCCGACCCACTCCTCTGCTCGAGGCATGGTGGTCCAGAAACCTGACCAGGTTAGGAAGAAATTGGCCCCCTCCACCCGAGGTGTGTCCCTTAGCAATTAGAGATATAGGTCGATGATGGATTGCCACCAACAGTGCTTGTGCCCCTTACATATAGTCCTTGTCGAGCCAGGATAGTTGGGAAACCCGACCCACTCCTTTACCATAGGTGTGGAGGTCGAGAAACCAGACCCTCTCCTCCTCCCAAGGTATGACAGTCAGAAAACCTGACCAAGTCGAGAAGAAATGAGCCTCCTTCGCTCGAGGTGGGTTCCTTAACAATCAGAGGGGCAAGTCGATGATAGATCATTGCCAACAATGTTCGTACCCCTTACCTGTGGTCCTCATCGAGCCAAGGAGGTTAGGAGAAACCCGACCCCCACTTCTGCCTAAGGTGTGACAATCGAGAAACTCGACCAGGTCAATAAGAAATGGGCCCCCTCTGCTCGAGGTGGCTCCTTCGGTGATAGATTGTGGCCAACAATGCTCGCACCCCTTGCTTGTTGTCCTCACCGAGCCAGGGAGGTCAAAAATCCTAACCCCCTTCTTCGACCGAAATATGGAGTTCGAAAAACTCGACCCTCCCTTTCGGTCGCCATTGAGTCGCGCAGGTTAGAAAATCAATCCTCATCATTGTTAGCCTCCATGCTCGAAGAGAGAGTCTGGTTAGGGGGCACGCTCAACCCACGTCTTGAATTAATGACCTCTATCTCCCAACAAGGGGTCACTCCTCGTCGAGCGTGCCCCTAACCCTGTCGGCATCCGCCTAACATGTTGAGCCGGATAACCAATCGAGAGGTGTAAGTTTAACATATTGGATGAACTAAATATCACACTTCAAATCTCTCTGGCAAAAGCTGCCAAAGCATGTCTTAGGGGGAGGGGGGGAGAGAGGAGAACAAATGATAGAGAGAACATCATCAGCTAATCATCATCCGACATGTGGCCTCCACATGGTGTCTAGGGTAGAAGGAGGAGATGAAGACCATTCTCCACCTGTTTGCCCAGATACATAAGGGTTCAAGGCAAGCTGTTATAGGTTGTCTCCTCTTGTCGCTCGCATAGATAAGAAGCTAAGGGGAGATTATTGGAGGCGGATAAAAGCCATCTCATCATAAATATTTCATGAAATATTTTATCTATTTATGACTATATATAAAAGCTCATCTTCAATACAATGAAAGAGTTTAGCATTCACGTCCATACTCATCTGCTTTGGGTTATTAATTTAGGCATAGGATGAATTGAGAAAAAAAAAAAAAAAAAAAGCCTTCTCACTACTTTGTTTTTAGTGCGGGTGATAATTTTAGGAGCTCGACGTTCATCATGAGCTTGGACAATCTAATATACATTGATCCAAACCATATCGAGCGGCACGTCAATATCTTCTTTTTATAATAGATACTAAAAGATAATAGATACTAAAAGATGATTTTCAAAAAATTAAGTTTTATAATTATTGTTATTGAATATATTTTAAAAAATAAGCTTTCAATGCTATTTGTGTGAAGAAATCTTATCCTCTCGGCCTCTCGGCCTATCCATATACCTCCTCTTGGACTCTCTTTACCCGCCATGGAAGTCTCTTCATCACTGGCCATCCCTGCATGGCTTCCGTCCTCTCCATACCCTTCCAAAGAGAACTCCTTGCTTCCTTCACCTCTCGCCCGAAGTACCAGTCTCCTTTTGCTCTCAAATCTCACTCCTTTAGTCACTTCCTCACGCTCTCACCCCTCGGTCGCACGATCGTCGATGATTTCTCCAAGATCTCCGCGGCCAGGACCCCCGCGACCAACGTCGATGAGAGAATTGCCCTCGGAGTACAGACCCATGACAGGCGAGCCAAGCATCAGAGAACCCAGGGAGACGAAAGGGTTGGCAGAAATGGTGGGCGAGATGAGGGTGGAACAGCGAGTGAGGTAAAGAATGTTGAGCTTGGCGTCGCCAAACAGAGGCCGGCTTTTCAGAGGTCCAGAGGCGAAGGCACGGCTCGGAAGTCAAAAAAGATGACACCTTGGGTGAGAAGAGACAAGGAAACGGAGGAAGAGAGAAGGATGAAGAAGAAGAGTAAGAAACCCAAGCTTCGCGAAGATGAAATCGATCTTAGAGTGAAGCTGGATATGTGCTCGAAGACGGGGGATGTGATGGGCGCCATTGCCCTATATGACTCCGCCGTGAAAGAAGGTATCAAGCTGAAGCAGTACCACTACAACGTGCTGCTCTATTTGTGTTCTGCTGCGGCCATCGGGGTCATTCACCCAGCAAAAAGTGGTTCTTCTGGTTCCAATCCACATTACTCGAGCGACGAGTCTTCGTCGAAGCACTCGGCCGAAGCAGGTGAAGAAGATGGGGAATTGGTCCACGAGGAGAACGCCCAACATACTTCCGAGTCGAATGGAGCCCTAATTAAAGATGCAAGCCAAGGAGCCCGGAAAGATGGAGTTCCAATTCAAGTCAGCGAAGACATCAGAGACTACGCTCGAACCAGGGGACTGGAGATATACGAAAAGATGTGCTTGGAGAAGATTCCGATGAGCGAGGCAGCTCTAACATCGGTGGCCCGAGTAGCAATGTCAATGGGCAACGGAGATATGGCCTTTGAGATTGTAAAGCAAATGAAGCCTCTGGGCGTGACTCCAAAGTTGCGCTCCTATGGTCCTGCATTGCTGACCTTCTGCAACGATGGCGACGTCGACAAAGCTTTCGAGGTCGAAGCACACATGTCGCAGAACGGCGTCCACCCCGAAGAGCCTGAGCTGGAGGCACTCATGAGAGCTAGCGTTGCAGCTCGTAGAGGAGAAAAGGTTTACTATCTACTGCACAAGCTTAGAACCAATGTTAGGCAGGTGTCTCCATCTACAGCAGCAGTACTCGAGGCTTGGTTTAGGAGCGCAGCTGCATCTAGGCTGGGGAAAAGGAAATGGGATGTGCAGGCGGTGGCAGAAGCCATTGAGAATGGTGGAGGGGGATGGCATGGGCAGGGATGGCTGGGCAAAGGAAAGTGGAATGTGTCGCATACTGGTGTTAGCACAGACGGCGTTTGCATGGCTTGTGGTGACAAATTGGTGACCATGGACCTTGATCCAATCGAGACAGAAAACTTTGCCAACTCTGTAGCATCACTGGCCAACAAAAGAGAAAGGAACTCAAATTTTCACAAGTTTCAAGTATGAGATCCCACAGTTCTTAAGCTACTTAATTCTATCAGCTTGCACCTACTCATCCGTGGTTTCATGCTTTTGATCCCTGCATGCAAATCTTCTGCTTTAGTGTTTTCTTTCAAACAAAGTTATGCAGGGCATCGATGATGAATGGTTTTTCTTGCAGAAATGGTTAGATTATTATGGTCCATTTGAAGCTGTCGTTGATGCTGCAAATATTGGTCTTTTTAGTCAGCGGCGGTTCTCCATTAATAAGGCGTGTATCAAGAAACTGAGATTTGATTTGACTATTTATTGGAGTTCCTGTTGACTTAATCTTCCTTTTGAACGTATAGGTCAATGCAGTTGTTAATGCCATACGGCAGAAGCTTCCCATGAAGAGATGGCCACTGATCATCGTACATAACAAACGCCTCACCGGAGGCAAGATGAATGCGCCTCTCAACATGAAGCTTTTAGAGAAATGGAAATATGCAGATGCTATTTATGAGACCCCTACCGGATCTAATGATGATTGGTGAGGCTTTTTGTGCTCTTCTTGTGTTTTATTGGCTTAACTAACCTGATGGTAACAGTGTTTCAACATATGTCATGCCTTGGTGATAAGAGACTATGATTTGGAAGAAGTATTTGGCTTCTCAGTTGTTCTTTCATGTTTATTTTTGAGATGTTACTGATCTTTTGTTCTTCTGAAACAAATCATCATAGGTAATAACATATGGTTCAGGTACTGGTTATATGCAGCTATAAAATGTAAATGCTTAATCGTGACGAATGATGAGATGAGAGACCATATATTCCAGGTTTTAGGGAATGATTTCTTCCCCAGATGGAAAGAAAGGCATCAGGTAAGCAAAGAGCTTTCCAACATTTGGAGCTTTGCATTTCTTAGATAAGCCTCATTGTATCTGTTAATCTGTGATAGAGACAAATAGCAAAGACCACATTGAATGCCGAATACATGAGTTGCATGTGATGCCAAGTTATAGACTCACAATTAACACTGCATGGTTGGTGGATGTCTGATCTTAAAATTCCTGCAGTTTGCATGTACACATCTTATTAGCTTCTCTCCACCAGTTCTAGCCATGGAGGACTGGAACATCCCCTGTTTTGATAGCTTGTTGATGTGGTGAGACTCTGGTGATCGATCTAACGACATGATCGCTTTACCCTGTGATAGGTACATTTCAGTTTTCACGAAGGAAGCTTTGAGTTTGATATGCCACCTCCGTGTTCCATTGTTATTCAGGTTTGATCCCCTAACTGAATGAAGGGATAAAAAAGAGAATTAAGAGAAATAAACAGTCAAATGTGCTACATCTGTTAAAATGCAAGTTGTAGGAGCTCAAATTTTTTTTGTTAGCATTCAACTTAGCACAAGGATCTTTTCTAGTCTTATAGATCGTCTTCTGCTTATTTGGTAACTATATTTACATGATACTGGAAGAGGAATGTAACCCTAATATTGCAAGCCTCAAACGTATTTAACAGTTCAGATATGATTCTAAAGATGCATTCTCCAATTAATGAAATAAAGTATTGTCTAGAGTTGCGGTACATTTTTACTTGGAAAAAATTGGCAGACATAAAAGAGGCCATCAAATAACATTTCCTTGTTACTTGAATGCAAATCTGTATGACGACTCAAAATTACAAATGGAATTAGTTAAGAGTAATGATCAAGATTTTACTTGAATGCAAAGCCATACGACGACTCAAAATTACAGATGGAATGAGTTACGAGTACTGATCAAGATTTTTTTTTTCTGAAACAATCAGGAAAATGAGAGAGGCCATTGGCATATTCCCATCTCAACCGTCCAAGAGCAGGAGAGGGAACGAACCTGGTTGTGTGTAACACGTGCCCACAAGGCGATAGAAGAATCATCAAATCCTCCTAGAGGTAATAAGCATTTTGTTTCTTCCTTGATTTCATGGATACTTTGGTACTATCATGCCAAGTTCTGCAGTGATTCTATATCTGCATTTTGCCTAAAACAGTATTCTATATCTAGAGTATGATAAGTATGTCTTAATATAGTGAGTTCTAGGAGTACTAGTCATAAGACAATTCCAAATGAAGAATATGAAAAAAATGCTCAAAGACCGTGAAGCAAGGGTCAGGCCTCAAAGTATGATCGGATTAAAAAATATGGTATGGAAAAGAATTGTTGTTGCTTTTGGTTTAGAGGTTCAAGCAATCCCGGGAAATGGAGTACAGGAACTAATACACTGAAGGGTCATAACCTAGGAGACATTGTTGTTAGAATGTGATTGAACAGCTTAGGTGAACTGGTAATTTGTATGCAAGAAAGATTAGGTGAATAGGGAAAATGATACTGAAGTTCCACCTAAGACTTCGTTTTTTTTGCATGGAAGTTTCTGCCCGTAGTCTGGATTTTCCCTGTAGTGAAAGATTTCAGTTAAACTTAAGCTTCACCACCATGTAACCTGTTGTTTTCCAAATAAATATCCAATCAACTATTGGCAAGTAGCAGATATAGCAAATCTATCAAACAATGAGCATAACCAGAGAAGCTATCATCTATTGACATAAGAAGATATTTTCTTAAACAGAATCATGTGTTCCGAACACAAGTAGCAATCCTGCTGCTTCATATGTTGAAGCAAAGAATTGTGTCGCATCCAAAGAACACTCAAAGAAGACATCTAGAAGTTCCCTCAGATGTAAAGTTGACTGCAAAGCTAACGAATTGCATACAGTCATCTCTGACATCGAAGCTGCGGAGAAGCTACATAACTGTGTAATTGATTTCCAAATTTAAGGAGAAGCAAGCGATCCTAGCCTCCACACTACTTAAAGGTTTTCAATACCATATGCCAGCGGCAATTTGCTGCTTCAGCCAAGTGCTAATTAGTGATTCTTGTTTGTATGTTGATGCCAATTTTGTCCTCTAAAGATGTCTATGTGCCGGGTCCATAATATTCATATGTTTCCAGTGATCTTTTCTTCCCTCTTTTCTTACCTTCAATATGAAGCCCATGCTGGTCGGTTAAGTTTCCCTCATTTTATCTGAATTTTTCTCTGTTATCTTATGTATTTGGCTGCATGCCCTTACTTTGATCAGACTTGTTGTGGCAGTTTTTGCTCTAGTAAGCCCTGAAACTGTAAATATTTTCTGGAACCAAATCATTTGTTCAAGTTTCTTATAGTTCTAGTTGTGCACTTTTACCGATTGTCTTGTGAGCCTACGAATTGTTGGAGGCTGTCTTCCATTTTGCCTGTTTTATGCGATAGGTTGGTGGGATGTCTGATGGCTTAGATGAACATTTTCATACCCTTGCTACCATTTCTTTAAGATATGAATGGGATCAGCATAGACAATACAAAATATGAATAGATTGATCTGATTTTGGTTAAACAGAGTTTATCTTAGTCATTCAGAGATCGAAAGAACTCGATCGATGACTCGGCATGAAACTTGGTATTGACTGTGATCTCATGTCTTCAACAAATGTAAGAAAAATTAGTGGACTAAAGTGCAAATTTGTTGGAGAATACAGAACATCACTGATACCAAATTGGAGTAAGCTGGTTCTGAACTGGATAAGAACTTTACTGATCATAACCCTGATTACATGTTTGGATGACCTAAGTCATGAAATCCTAAACTGGGATGTGAGGTACAGTAAGAAGAGTACCTCCAGTATGGAATAGGATTCAAGGCTTCCAAAAGCTCCTCTGGATTCCAAAGTAGTGATGTACATGGTTAGATAGCTCAAGCAGCAGCACCTTTGAAGATGAGGAAATAGAGTGTCTCCAAGCAGAAGTAGATGAAGGTGCCCTTTTTGTGAGTGAAGAAGCACCCAAAGTTGGAACCCACCACACACTGCCATCCAGGGCCATACCTAAGATCAAACTCCTACCACATGAACAACCAAAACAGTTGATGCTGGAGGAACAAGAGAGAGGCAGAGATGATGATGGTGGACTGCACAAAGAGATAGATACCTTTTTGATGTACGCAGCCATGCTCTTGCAGTCGAGGACATCAAAGAGGTCAAGGGCTTCTGAGGCACAGGACATGGCTTGGAGCTGCATCTTCACAGGCATGTCTGTCTCCTGAATCATTGCCTTGCCTTCCAACATCTTGGCTTCCCTTCTTCCTCCGAGTGAAGATGAAGTGATGGCTTTCCAGGCTTGACACAAAACTCCAACTCACCTTCCAAAAGATGCAAGCACAAAGCAGGACAAAACCTGTGAGGTCCCACCGCCACCAGATTCCACACTGCAACATGTCTTTGTGGAGATTCCTTAGAGCAGAAGATAATGTTTTGTTTCCACCTGTGCAGGAACAGATGTTATTCCACAAGAGCTTTTGTTTAATGGTATTTATGTGACAGAGAACATGTCTCCACCTGTATGCATGACATAAAAGTAGCTCCGAAGTGTGCATTTGTGCCAATGACAGTGTATGTTGGGACAACAACATGCAACCTCGAAGCATTAAATTTTTTTGTTGACACATTTGGATGCAGAGATTCTACACTTAAGGGGAGAATATTGATGATAAGGAGTAGCCTTGTACTATTTTGATCGAAGAATTTAAATGATGTGCAATACACGTGAAGAACTTGATAATTATTTTTCAAAAAATAGAAAGGATTTTAGATATCAAACAAAAAAAATCACTCGAGCATAAGCTCAAGTGATGATGAACTTGAACTCATCATTATGAAATTTAAAAAATTTATGAAATAAAAATAAAAAAATAAAAAGAATGTAATTACTTGCACGTAAGAAGAGGGAAGAACTTTGGGATAAATCAAGCTTCTCCCCCTTCGATCTTCTCCTTCTTCCTCCATTATTCTATCGATTATCCTATTGAATAAATTGGTGATATCTTTTGCAACACTAAATGGTGGTAAAGTGGTTGTCACATTTTCTGTTTGATACGAATCAGAATTGAATTGATCAATAGTTTGATAGTTCTAAATCAAAATCACACTTCAATAGTTTAGTTCGGGTTCAATCCTGAATCAACTAAAAAGAAACATAGACTATCAAAGACCTTTTCAAATAATGAATATATCCATTTCAACAACTTCATAAATAAGTAGGGACATTTTATGAAAATTAAAATAAAAAAAATAAACTAGCCAAAAAAGCATCCCCATTGCTTTGATGGAACCAATGCAATTGCCTTTTAGCATGAAATCAAGCAACAAAACTTGCATTATAAAAGGAACTTGCTTTTATTATTCCTTGACTATCGTTGACTACTCCGGAATTGCTGCGCGTCTTACAATAGAAGTCCAAAAATAACCATCAATGCATACCGCTGGATGAACTTTAAATATTAAGGAATATAAGGGGTTTACATGAAATATTCCCAGTACTTCGCTCTACCAAATGTCATCTATTATGAGCTGTAGGGGGTTATATGTTAAATTCCCAATTTCTTTGCCTAATCAAATCTCTCTCTCTCTCTCTCTCTCAGCTCCCAAAAACCCCTTGAGATCTCCCGCCTATCCGCGGGCCGTTCTCCGCTTCCGACCTCCGAAATCCCTACTCATCCAATCCCTCGCTGCCGCTGGTCGCCCGAAGGACGCAATCCGATTGCTGGTTCTCTGCCGATCGGTTCACCCGGATTGCTTCGTCGCCGTTCTCGAACACTGCGCCGCCACGGAGACCCTAATCACCGCGCGGCAGCTCCACGCCCGAATGATCGTCGCCACGTGCTCTGATCAGGACTCCTTCACCTGCAACCATCTTGTCGATGTATATGGTTAATGCTTCTTATTGGACGAGGCGCATAGGGTTTGTAGGAGGTCGGGGAAGAAGAAGCTTCATCTCTGGAACATCCTAGTTACGGAATACTGCGAGTCTGGATTTTTAAGCGAGGGGAGACCTTTGTTCGATGAAATGCCTAGGCGGTATGCATTTTCGTGGGGTACTATGATCATTGGGGTATGACGAATTGTCAAGTGGACAATCCTGCTCTTTAGAGTGGATCTTACATGAACTTCCTAAGCTCTTAGGATGTAAGTTTCCCTTATACATGGTCTTCTTTCTCGATCAGTTTCTTTTGCAGCAACAAATGCTAGATTAGTATCTGTTTAGTTGAATTACATTATATACTTCGATAGAATATGCTAAAAGGTGTCACACTGGTTCGTATCGTCTTCTGAACTGACAGAACAAACTTGGAGATTGTCTTAGGCTTGTAAGCATAAACAATTAACTGTCATATGTTTCTTTCTATTCTTAAATTAAAGGAGACACTAATTCTAAATATTTAACTGCTTCAAATCAAATCCTAACACGGTACATATGAGGTATAGTCCATTGACAGTAGTACACTCATCAGACTTTTGTAAGTTAATCTTATTCTTGCCCACTTCCGATGCAGGACTAATGGAGATATTACATTTGACATATGAAGTTAAACCAGTTTTTTTGGTAAAACTTGGTTTGTTCTGTTTGTTGCATAGACATTCTCTACTTTCTCTAGCATATTTGAAGTTCCGCATTGGTTCATGTTGCTAATTTGCATAATATAGATAGTGTACATATTTACACCAAGATAGATGAGCTGTTCAATCTACTCAAGTCAAATTTCATATAAAGAGTGAAGGAAGATTCACAAGCTAATTGCCTTTCGATTGTACAGATGAAGTGCCCTAGGCATGTGCAGTTTCTACTCAATTGCTGATATTTCAGAAGCAGAAGCATGTATGAGGAACTTTCCCTGTGGATCGCATCTTTTTTGCCTTCTCCACTGTTGTTGATTCACCATTTCTTTTCCTTTCTTCTGCAAGGGCTCTTGCTCCATCAGCCATTTTGTCAATCCTTGATACCTCAATTCGATGCTCTCGTAATGCTCTTTCGTGTCTGAGTTCCAGATCCCTCTGCACTTTTCACATTAAACAGTCAGCTACCTTTTTTCTCACTTAAGGCATCATAAATCCTTCCTGTTTATAGTTCTTTTACGTATCAACAATTAGCTTATCACATGCACAGTTCATTGACGTCAGAAGCTTGCCATAATGATCTTCTAGGAAAGATTAAAAAACTGGGAGGATCTTCTCAGAGAAGAGATGCATGCGAAACATATTGGAGCTTGGTTCAAGAATATCCTCATGGCCAATTTTTTTTTTTTTGCAACAAGATTTCCTTAAAAGTATAAAATAAGCTTAGATAGTAGGATTCCATGTTGCAGTGGCATATCATTGTCTACATGTCTATGTTGGGATGTAAGACTGACATTTGCCTTTTTTAGTGAAAAGAAATATTTAGTAAATTGCCTGGGTAAGATTTTTTTACAAATTTGATTTCAATTATAAGTTGTGACAGGGTAATTGCAATTAACAAATCCTTTGATGGAAAAGCAGTTCTTAGCTTTCAAATAAAGTAATGAGCTAACTTTTCGAGGATATGAAGTGCTGAATTTTTTCTGTTGCCTTTTGCTTGATATAAAATGCAACAGGATGCTAGTTGATTGATTATAAGAGATGTCAAGAGAGTTGTGCTTATTTGAATGTGTAATTAGTTAGTCGGGAGCATACTGCCAATGCTACTTTAGAAGCTGGTGATGTGCAAACTGGAGCTTTGCCTACCTGATATAGGGGCTGAATTACTCAAGTGTTTCAGAATCTTCTGATCTAAGTTTCCAATTGACTTGTAAGAGTTGCTTGTTTTGGATTGAGGAACTGCATTTGATGGCAGTTTCTATTGCTTCTTGCAGTTCAGAGGCCTTAGCAAGATTATGTTTCCAACAGAGAGGTTGGTTTTAAGTTGGGGTGGCCAAGGCTCTAAATAGGACAAAATAAAAAAAAAGGAGAAAATTGAAACTAGTGCATCATCATGTCTACGAGAGTCGGTTATTGTACACCTCTTTTCGTTCCATTCGGCGTTTGGCTTTTAGCTTCTTCTCATTCTGCCATTCCAGAATAATGGACTTCATCTTGTCATACCTGAAAAATGTTTCAGTTTGGTAGAAGTAGATTAAGCAGAAAAACTTGCTGCTGCGGAAACCTTTTGATACATCAGATGGCTAAGCTATAATTACCTTTTTCTTATTTTATCAATCTTTGCTCTTTCCCATGCATCCACTTTTGTTTCCATCCTAGTGGAGTCAGTTGTTCTCTTGCCTCCGTTTTCCTTTTTGGAAAACGATGCTGTAGGTTTGGTTGTGGATGGGTTTTGTCGGCCTGTCTGCCTTTGTCCACGTTCAAATCTACTACTACCTGCATCATTTGATACTTATCAGAGAAAGTTGTTGATTTTAATGGGAAGATTGATGACCTTTGCATTTCGTGATTGTCTGTCATCAGGACCAGATTCTTCCAGCATCTTCTGTTTGATTATTACTGCCATTTTGATTTAAGTATCATCTACAACTAAGTGTGTTCTTATTTCCTGTATCGTTGATCATACGAAAAGTGATGCAAAAGCATATTAAACTTTCTTATCTATCTGTAATTGATGATGACCTCAATGATTCGGCTTTTTTTGGTAATTTAGGAACTACAGAAGGGAATATAACAGAAATGTACCTGATTGTCTTCCAGCTTTTGCCTCAAACCATCTGGATAATCTGCTGGAATCAGTTGGCTTGTTCATGCTATCTTCTCTTTCGCTTTTAACTTTGGCTGTCGGGTGCATCAATTGATCAATTGTCTTGTTTTGGTTCAATAAATCTTCTTCTTCCTCCTGTAAAGTAACAGCATGTGCAGCTGCTCCAACTGCAGTCACAAACTCAATATTGCTGGCATCTTTGATATCACTCATTTAGCTCTGGAACCAGTTAGCTTTTTCCTTTCTACAATAGAAAGCTGGTTATTATCTTCTTCAATAAATTGTTTCAAAGGAAACACAAGTTGCAGTATCCAACTAGCTGAAAATCCAGGATGTTTTTAGAAAATGCTTCTTAACTTCTTGATATAATGCTTATTGGGAATTTAAATAAACTTTCCACATTTCAAGAGCAAGGATTAGCATGCTATGCTGTGGGTCTTGCTTATAGCCCCTTAAGCTCTATACTACAACTAGCCTCAGATTAGAACAAAATGATGGATTAGTTTGGTATATGAGAATAGATGGACCTGCTACTACTAACCTAGGCCAATATATTGACCGTATCAGTTCATGACATTGGCATGGCATGTGCTGAGCCATATCACATTGTCATAAGCCATAACTTGGTGTAAAAATCTTAAACCGGAATATCTCACCCCATGAATGAGATTGAAGGAATTCAACTGCAACCATTTAAACAAAATTTGCGAATATGAAGCTGTTCTTATTGAATTGTTACATAAATTTAGAAGCAGTTGCATGTCATTATTGAAATCTTTGTTTTTATTCTTTGATCATACCAACAGACAACAGCGACAATATTTTGAAACCATGTCTAGGTTATGAATACAAGTATTTTATTCAAACAAATGCTGGTGTCATTAATTCAGTCAACTCATCTTTTTTGGTTTACTTTTTTTCCCCACCATAGTGCAGGCAGTTAGCATATACTGCTTTTTTCTTAAAAAAAATTGTAAAAAGTTAATTTTATACTTGAATGTGCAATCAGATCTATGCTTTCTGTCAATTAGCTTTTCGTGTTGAGTTTTTTAGGTTACAAGAGATGTCCAGTACATTGTTATCCTTGATAAAGCACAAAGTTGCAATGACATTGGTGAGACCATTTCGAAAAACTACTAATTATTGTCATTTACTGCTCATGCAGATGAAACTTTTACTCAGAACAGGCTAAAAGAGAGGAGCAGTTTAGTCGGATATTGTCTAAAAAATATCCAATCTTTGATAGAGAAGAAGCAGCTCAAGGAGGGAACTAATTTTATAGAAAGTGGGATAGATGTATATCATGATATGAAAGAGTATACCTTATTTGTTTGAACAGATTGTTAATCATGGACCTTCTGGTGCAGATGTTGGTGTTTCTCTGGAACTTGAAATTGTTGTAAGCAGAAGGAAGATATCCATATTGACTTTTATCAGAAACCAAGCTTGGAAACAAAGCCAGGCTGGGTAATTTACTTGAGAATAACCAGACTGACGAGCCAGAGTCCAGGAACAAGAAAAATAAGGTATTGATTTGGCATGGAAGTTCTGATTAGTATCTGCAAATTTGGTTGAAGAAGAAAGGGATCACTTGTCTCCATTCTTCCCAGGTTCCAGCTTCTACCTGTACTCTTTCTGACCTTTTTGCCTGCAAAAGATCAAAACATGGCTTTCAGGCTGAAGGAATGCTCTTTGCTCATCGTTAGGGCTCATAATGTGCCTGGGCTGCCCATCAAACAAATAAATATGCCAGCCAGGCAAGGGACTATTATGGGCTTCCTTTGGATAATGGGCCTTAACCCCTAAGACTGGTTTGTGCTACCCTCAGTCAGACACAGAAGGAATTCTATGGTGAGTGAAACATTTACTCAGGATTGTAGGTTTGCAAAGACTACGTGTTGTTTCCAGTACCAGGAAATTTGCTGCACTTGCTGTCATATATTTGTATAAGGCCTGTTTATTGTGGTGGTGACTATTGTTTGCATATCATGCATTTAAATGAGCCTACAATTCTTACAGGTATATGCAACTCAGGTGGTCCCGAGTAAAATCCGGGTACAATTCCTCGTATTTCATGGAAGGTAGTGTGTCATGGTCAGTGCCTGCTATAAGCCTTCATCATTTGAAGGCAGTAGTTGACATGTCCTCTTTGAACACCCTGTTCCTTGTCTCCAGCTTACTGATCTCCCAGTGGTCCACGTAAAAATATTGACATCTGTTTCCTTCCTTCTTGTTTCTCAGGTCAAGTGCACATGGGCAGGAACTGCATCATCTGTGAACTCCCCCAAATTGATCTGGCAAACTATCCATGTAGCAATGTTATTGCCATCTAGGAATGCTGGTTCTAGATTTTCCAAGTAATAAGGACTTCTTCACCGAGTGGTTGCGGTGTCTTTTTCATCTCAGCTATCACTTTTGGCTCGATAATTCATGGTAATTCTTCTGCTCTCTCAGTTGGCATGATATTGAAAATACTGGTGAATCTATTCTGCTTTGGTTCCTGATTTCACTCTAATCCTTATCAGAATGATATTTGAAACTATAAGAAACCTATTGTCTTCTGTAGGCATTTGCATCTTTCTTGTTTTCATCGTTAATCTTAATTTCTTCCAAGGTTTTGCTTGTGTCCTTATACCTGTGAGAAAAATGAACTGAGTCGGTTAAACATAGACGATTGCTGACATTTCTGTACCATTGCCATAGTGGATATAAAATCCATAGCAGATACTTGTAATCTTCTTCTTCTGATTAATTGAGCAGATGTGGGCTCATATTTCATGCCATGTAAAGATCACGATGCCATCTTGAAATTTAACCTCAGTTGTCAATGCCGTCTGCAGCAGTTGGCACATTGCAAGGTACTAATGAGAAGAACTTTTCAGCTTTACAAAACCTTTGGAGGCCTTCACCACCAGCATAGCTAACTAACCTCATTAAACGTTTTAGGTCCACCAAAAGAGTCTGGTGGATAGTTCCATCACAGTGTCAAGCAGAGCAAACTTGATCTACTTCAACTTTCAGCTGCATACAGTAGTAACCTGCACAGTAACATCTTCATTAGCAAATCATAATTTTCAATTATTTAAGATCAGCTACATCAACTTTTTCTTGTTATCAACCATTAACTTTATTCAAATCTCTTGATTAGCACATCCATAGCATAAATGTTAACCGTAGAGATTAATTGCATTATGTCAATTGATAATTAGTTAAGCATTTTAGATTCATATTCTATATTAAATTACATCCACAGTGCTTAAATGAACATATTATTACACCGTTCACGATGTCCCAATGATCACCTACTTTCCACACATGCATCTATTTGGACTCATCATTGAAGCTGCCTGCTCCATTAAATTATCATATTTGGTAGAAGAAGCCAATGAAGGGGCAGCAGAAGGAAACACAAGCAAAGAGAGTATTCTGCCGACACTTGTTATTCTCAACCACTGCCTGCATCATGAATCAGCTATCTCACAGTAACAGCAAATCACGTTATAATCTGATGTGTCATGATGTCGATGGATGGCTTTGGGTCCCGTCTGTAACATTGTCCGCTAGATTGTTCTGCGTGTGCTCGAGGGCAAACTCCGGATCTTTCGGCAGCTAAGCCTCTGCCTTCACTCGTCGGTTGCTCTCTTTTAGTAGCAGTAGTAGCGAGAGAGCTCTTTACTTTGGTCGCTTGCAGCTTTCCCTTCTCAACCCTCGTTTCTCGTACGTTCGCGTCCTCGAGCGGATTTCCCAAATTGCGTAAGAAATCAGCGTTTTCCTGATCATTTTCTCCTTCCTTTTCCGGTTTGTTCTCACGAAAGTTCAGAAAAATGTGATTTTTCTGTAGGTTTTTTTAGTCAACCAGAAGTGCTAGATGATTAATCTGATGCTCTGACGAATTTATCAGCAATTCTTGAGTTTTTCTCATTTTCGAGTCAACACTTTGTGGAGACTGTGTTTGATTGTACTGTTAATATTTCCTCGGCTCATCAATTCATCAGTTCTTGCGATTTCGATCAGAATCTTGGCTAGTTTCACCGGATTCAGTAATTCTTGATCAAGATGATGCACGCCAAGTCCGAATCAGATGTTACCAGCTTGGCCCCATCGTCGCCGCCTCGATCGCCAAAGAGGGCGACCTACTACGTGCAGAGCCCGTCCCGGGACTCTCACGATGGCGACAAGTCATCGTCGATGCAGGCAACCCCCGTGTACAACAGCCCCATGGAGTCCCCTTCTCACCCTTCCTTGGGGCGCCACTCGCGGACCTCGTCGGCGAGCCGGTTCTCCGGGCCCTTCCGGTCCTCGTCGGGCCGAAAGGGGTATAGGAAGAGAGTGAACGAGAAGGGTTGGCCCGAGTGCGATGTGATACAGGAAGAAGGGTCGTATGATGACCTCGATGACGACAAGGGACTGTCACGCCGTTGCCAGATCATCCTTGCGCTCCTCAGCTTCATCCTGCTGTTCACTGTCTTTTCTCTCATCATTTGGGGAGCTGCACGGCCCTACAAACCAGACGTCATCGTGAAGGTATACTTCATTGACTTCTCTCAACTGACAATTCGTTTGTTGCTTCACTTTTTACTGCAATTTGAACCCATTTCATCACACACAGAAATGACTTCCAAAGAGTTTGTTGGTTTTGTCGGGGATATGTTGAAGCTTTTGTGTTACTCAGTGAATTGGAAACATACTGCAACTTGACGTTTCTTAATTTTGTGTTAAATTTTGACTCATAGTTGACATTAGCTAGGGAATGGAGGTCGCCACAGAAGTTATTGTTATGCTATATTACAAGAATCTAAGGATTTATGATTTTGTATGAGTTGGTACTGTTAGGGAATGAAGCTTATTTGGAAATTAAATGTGCAAAGGTTGTCGCTAATGATCAATGGGTCGGAATGGATCTGTGACTGGATGCCCTCCAGAAAGGATTAGCGCTTGAAGAAACTAACTACGATTTCGAGCTTAATGCTTTGATAACTTAGTTCCGCAAGGATAAGTAATGTTTATTGTGAAACCATTTATATGAGAATTTCGTTATCCAGTTAAGGCTTTAATTATTGTATTGTATATGAGGCTAAGGATATTTGTTGTGGAGGTACAAATTATTTGATTGGTGTTGTTATATGTGATTTTACTTGGAAATATATGGCTTTTACGTGTTCAGCAACAAAATCTCATTCATGGTTATTTATTTGTTTCCAATGACAACATATTCTTCTTCCTTTGAATGTATTAATTCTTTTTAAGAAATATTATTGCATGTTATGATGCTCATATCGATAACTTTCAAATGCCATGTTATAAATATTATCTAAGAAGTAGCCACTTTGAGCCTGCTGCACGATGAAATGTTCCCTTTTAATTACTCTCTTGATACCAGAGCTTGTCGATGGATGACTTTTATGCTGGAGAGGGTACCGATACCACTGGTGTCCCAACTAAGATGGTCACAGTGAACTGTTCATTGAAGATAAGTGTGTACAATACTGCTACAATGTTTGGCATTCATGTAACGTCAAGCCCCATCCAGCTCATGTTCTCAGAAATCACAATTGCTACCGGTGAGGTAAGTCTGTTCCTGTATTGTGTTTGTTAATGGTAAACTAAGGAGAAATTAATCTACGAGTGTGCCTGATGCCTTGGATCCTATTGTGTGATGCTTTAGTTGTTCCCCTAGCTGTTAGTGCCATTATTAAAGCCGCCATCCTGGAGGGACATAACCACTTAAAGTTGATGCATGTATCATCTAAGTCGGATTATCAAGTTCATATTGCTTTGTTTAACCTATCGCATCACAAAAAGCAGACCAGTGCACTAAAGCCAAGTATTTGCGTACTTGGAAAAAAAGAATCATTTTTTTGGCTGGTCATTTTGTCATTTGAAATGTCTGAATTTTGTAAAACAACCTTAAGCAAAATCTCTTTCAATAATGTCCTTTTGTTGCATGTTAGTTCCTCAAATCATTTTCTTTTTTGTGGGTGATTCACATGAATCCATCCATCAATCGTTTATGCTTTATCAATTTTGTTGCTTAAATCTGTTAAACCTAAATCGCTAAACTTGTTACGAAGCGATGAATCTTTTATGGTCATGCTAAATCCATGAGTTGCCATAGGTTGGTTTTTTGTTCTAAAAGCCAAATTCAATGGTGCTTACCATTGTGACTTGCCTAGCCTCATCCTTGTTGCTAGCTTATAATGGTAGGCCTTGTTATAACTTGTGCAATGAACTGTTTATGGTCAACTAGCAACAAAGGATGTAGTGACACTTTCCTGCATGACCTGCCTAGCCTCGTATCCCGTAGCTGATCCGCATCCGCTGCAATGTATATATCATGGCTGTGGTTTGTGGCTATGCATATATGTTTTGTGACACTTTTCCTAGGAACAGATCCATGTACAACGCTGTGAACCAATACATACATCATGGAAGGGACAGAAACTTGATTCTAACAGGTGTAATACTTGGAGAAACTTATTGACACTTTTTTTGTATCTAATTGCAGGTGCAGAAATATTACCAGCCTAGAAAGAGCCATAGGACAGTATCAGCCATCTTGCATGGAGAAAAGGTGCCATTATACGGTGCCGGGGCAGGCATGGCTTTATCCAGCACCGGTGGACAGGTCCCTCTAACTCTGGATTTTGATATCATATCACGGGGAGATGTGATCGGAAAGCTGGTGCGGGTGAAGCATCGAAAGCACGTCTCATGTCAGCTCGTGGTGGATTCCAGCAAGAACAAGCCTATAAAGTTTGCCCGTAATTCATGCACCTACGTGTGAGGAATGTTCCTGTTTCTTATGGTATGGGAAGCAGCAGAAATATCTATGTTTGCGGTCATAGAAAATGAAAAGAAGAGTGTTTTCTGGTGATTATATTTGTAAGTACAAGATAATAATATTTGATTGCTTGGAGGTGTGCCTGGTGCTCTGATGTATTTGACATTTTGTTTACTTCAGGCTGTATACACTTCTTATATTTGGACATCAACAAGGGAAATAATATAATAGCACCTCATGCACTGTTCTATTTTTTTTTATTTTAATTGATTTATGTATTTGTATTTCATTATTATAAAAATAATTATGGAAAAGGATGTTGTCCTTCTACCTTCTTCTCATGAACAGGACCTTCTTGTCATGTGCCTTACCGACATTTGAACTCTATCCGTCACATTGGTAATAATAATAATAATAATAATAATAATAATAATAATAATAATAACGCTACAAGTCATTTGATCCTTTACGGGCTTTGCAAAAGCATCCAAACCAATCGTTATTATTCGATCACGGCCGGCCCGCTACAAGCGTCGAGCATCAATAAAGCGCAACCACGCCGAAGCCCTCCTACCGGCAGCCGCTGCGAGGGAGGGAATCGACCATCTCCTCGCCCTGGGGCCGTTCCCCGCGGCCGGCATCGGACTCCTCGCCCCGACCCCGTGTCTCCGTGTTCCTCGGGTGGCGCCCCGTCGCCTCCACTGCCTCCGCCTTCGACCATTCCGATCGGCGGCAGCTTCCCCTCTCGCCGAAAGGTGGCCCTTTTTGGCCCCGGATGGGGCCCTTCCTGTTGCAGAACGAAAACATCAGGTCTGATTCGATCATATCTCTGCTGCTACGAAGGTCATTCATGAAGCGTCGCATCAGTTTGTTTGCTGGGGTTCGGAAGGTACGCGTCTGTCTTTCATGGTCCGTTTTGGTTCTATTCGATCACGTTTGCTTTCCTGTTGTTTCTATACCCATACCGCATCTCTATGTTCTTGTTCTTTGACCCACATTCTGCTTAGTTCTTTCTCTCTCTCTCATATATATTTTACTGCGAAATTAGATGTGTTTGCAGATGATATGATAGATAGATAGATATCTTCATTTGGTTCAATAGTTCATGGCAATACATTGGAAAGCAGCTTCTACATTGAATCCTTTCTTCAGCTAACGTCTCAAAATAGGGAATGTTGTGTTCCCCTTTGATAGCACACCATGGCTAGTTTTTAGAACTGCAGGAAAGAAGCCTCATTAACCTTTGTTAGTTTGACTTGATTGCAACATATCTGAAATCATTTGAGAGAGCCTTCTTTGTATCTTTAGGATGCTATAGAAGTGTATGTTGAACAGGCCATTCATCCATGAGAAAGCCTCAATTCAACACACAATGTCAATAGATATTAGCTTATTTGGCAGACTTAGTGTAGAATTAGAGCACAAAAACTCACCTGGGAACCATCAGCATTGTCTTCATTGCCAGCTGAGGGTTCCCAGACTTGCATTCTTAGTATGCTTATGAACCTTGTTATAGAGAGATTAATTGGCAACATTAGATAAGAAAAAAATATAAATATATGTATACAAGAAACAATAGGAAATTACACCATACAAAGAATCGGTTAGCTGTTCACCATTCATTATTAGAACAAAAAAGACAGACAAACTATAGTTGAACCATGAATATAGTCTTAGGAATAGGTATGGAACATGAAGTTTAGGCTTTACAAAACAGACTGCAAAATATTCTCACAAACTGCTGCCGTATTCGTAGCTGTCTTTCTTCTTCCCCATCTCTACCTCCTGCGTCTGTGCACCTTCGCTGCTCGATGCAGATGGATTCCGACCATACTCGCTCGTCGGTGCACTGTACTCGCTGCTGGCATACTCTTGAGTGGTCAGTGCCATTTTTCTAAACTTCTTCATGTCCTCGTTATATTGGCCGGAATCGTAATCTGAGCTGCCATATGAGCTGTAGAACCTGCTATGACCGGGTCTGATGCCTTCATGTAAATCTTCAAGAGATACATCTCCTTCTAATGCTCGAAGAATCTGCTTGTTGGTTTCACTCGTTAGGGTTAGTAAAAGCTGGATGTATTAGATAGATAGTAAGCTATTAGAGGCTGACAAAAGAAGAAAAAATAAGTCTCATCAGAACCACCTGAAACTTAAGTGCGATATGAGTTCGAAAGTTTACAGACTTCTGGAAAACAAGATGCAGGTTTGTGCATAGAAAACACTTAAAAGAACAAATGACAATGCAAGACGATAAAACCAGTTTAACAATTGAAGGAGAAAAGGGGTGTACAAGGCTTATGAGCATATAGTTAATAGCGTACGCAATCTTATCCCACAAGTAGAGATGTTATTTATATGATTCAAATCCTAATCATCCAACTTGTAAATGAGCAGTCTTACCTGCCATACATTGTATCAAGACTCATACTTGTGCAAAAAAAATCACTTAAAATTCATTCAAAATAACACAAACACTGATGAAAGACACTCGGAGAAAACATGGAAAGGAAAGACTACCTGACTCATCCTTGGCCGTCGCCTTGACGAGTGACGCACACATGCAGCAGCACAGGCAATCATGCGAGCCATCTCATTAGGGTTATAGTTCATTCCCAACTTTGGATCAACAAGGGCATCGTAATTGCCATCCTCGAGAGCTCGAGTAAGCAATGGCCTTGCCTGAAGTCACAAGAAAAATTTAAGAATTAAATGTGGGAAGGTAAAAGCAGAAGCAACACACCAAGATGATACACACACTAAAAAAAGTTAGGAAAAATACTAACCCAGTCGACTAAGCTATCATCCATGAAAGTTTGGGACGAATCAACAGGGCGTCGTCCGGTGATTAGCTCCAGAAGCATGATACCAAATGAAAAGACATCTGATTTGTCAGTGAGTTTGCCTGAAGATGCATACTCAGGTGCCAGATAACTGCAAGAATGCAGGGGCTACAGATTAGAAAAAACTGACCAAGAAATCAAGAGAATGACAACCTCACACCAACATCTTTGTAGCCAAATTGCAACGAGGAAATTGTCAATAGTAGATCCGTTTCCAGATGCAGAAGATATAGCAGAAAATGCATCAAAGTGCAAAGACTAATAATAAAGAAACTTACTCCCAAGATGTAGGTCTTTAGAAGGAGGAATAATTTATTAATCTTGTTCAATAATGATGAGTCCAAACCAAAGCAAAGTGTAAATCTTAGAAATGAAGCATACCCGAATGTTCCCATAACTCTCGTAGAAACATGGGTGTTATTATCAGAAGCAAACTTCGCTAGCCCGAAATCTGCAACCTGCAAACAGAACACATAGGTTGAATTAATCAAAGCTACACTGATAATAAAAGTAAAAAATGGTGATTGATTCAGAAGATTTTATGGCACACAATTGTTCTTAAAGATCTATGCTGTTTGGTCTACTCTACCAAGAAGCCAAAGCTGAAATGTTCATTGCAGATTCAAGCTTGGCTGAGAACATATGGTAGATGGTCTGGTGTGTAACATAAAATGTGATATACCTACAGGATATGTGTCCTTACCTTTGCCACAAACTTATAATCAAGAAGAATGTTGGCTGCCTTAATGTCGCGGTGAATAATCTTAGGATGACCTGGAAATTGAAAATACTAGTCGTTAGGACCGAAACAGGAATCGACGACAATAAGCCTTAAAAAAAGAAGAGATAACTCACAGTCCTCATGAAGATATGCCAATCCTTTTGCAGAACCCAACGCAATTCTTAGTCGTGTAGGCCATTCCATAGTTGGTCGACCTCTTCCTGGAACACGAAAACTACCTTAGATGAACGGATCCATTGGAATTAGAACATCATCTATCTGTCTAATATATGTGCATCACTTTTTCATGTGCAAGTCCTCCGGAATTGCACTGTCATAATCCAAAGAAACGTATACATCAAACATGTATATTGAAACAAGCTTAAATTCTTACCGTGCAAATGGAACTCCAATGTATTATTAGGAACATATTCGTAAACGAGCAGCCTCTTGCCTCCAGAAATGCAATACCCAACCAACGAAACGAGGTGCTTGTGATGAACTCGACTGATGGTCTCAACCTCTGCCTGGAACTCACGCTCGCCCTGTCCGCTCCCTGTTTTCAGCTGCTTGACGGCGACTTCCTTGCCGTTGGGAAGCACTCCTCTGTGCACGTAACCGAAACCACCTTGTCCGAGGAGATTAGCATCAGAGAAGCCATCGGTTGCCATGGCCAGTTCTTCGTAAGTGAAGGTGCTTTTTGAGAAGCCAAAGGCGACACCAGGAGAAGGTGGAGGCAGTGGGAACTCTGAGCCGGAGTAATTGGATCCAGAACCACCGCTGCTGTGTATCATAGGCGGAGGCGGCGGTGGAGGCAAATCGCCAGCAGACTGTGGAGGACGCGAAGCAAATGGTGGCGGTGGAAGTGGTGGAGGAGGAGGTCCTGAAGGCACTTTGACAACATGATCTGCTGCTGGTGGAGCACTCTGTTGCCAGTATTCACCGTATCTGTCAGCTGAAAACACGTTCTACATTAGTTGGATATGAGATTTATTGTCGATTTGGAAGTCCAAAAAATCTAATTGAAAAGACAAGCAAAATGCAATTATAATAAATTTATGTTTTCTTTGACATGAAAAATATGTATATATTTCTTTCTCACTGTACAAACATTCTGAGCAGTAAGCCACAGAATGAGATGTCTTCGTCTCTCTCTGTCCGATAACCAAACTCGTCTTTGAGAAAAGACACCGAAGAAGAACGAAAGATACATACATATATTTCCAGAAATAGTTACGAAAGGAGGGTAGATCTAACCTTTCGTTCCCGGTGGGGGCGGCGGGGGAGCTCCGAAGTAATATGGCGGCGGCGATGCAAGCCGGCGCTTCTTTTTCCAACAACAGACGCATATAAAGCTTAGCAGCAACAAGATCACCACCCCGCCAACCGCTACCCCGACCACAAGCGAAGTCGAGATCGAGCTCGACGAAGATGGTGAGGACGAAGAGGGCGGCGACCGCGTAGACGGGGTCTTGGGTGGCGTAGGAGAAGGCGGTGAGGGTGGCGATCGACCCGATGGTGGCGGCGGCGGCGGCGACGAGGACGAACCGGAAGGGGTCACTGGTGGGGGAGGGGAGGAGCCGGACGGGCTGGAGGGAGGCGGCGAGGCTGAGGGCGGAGACGGGGAGGGGTTGGCGGGGGAGGGAGGGGGCGAGGTCGGCGGTGGAGCGGACGGGGTGGCCGGCGGCGGAGGAGAGGTCGAAGGAGGCGTGGCGGGGGTGGCAGGGGGAGGGGCACTGGCGGGTGCCGGAGGCGGGGACGTCGGCGACGGGGTCGACATTGTTGCCAAGCACCGGGGTTGTCTTGTTGCTTGCTTTCCTCTCCAGTCTTATTGAGATCGACCAGAAAGATGTCTCTGTTCTTGCAGTTGCGTTGGGTTTGGGTTGGGGAGTGACCGAAGGAAAAGGTGGCAGTGCGGGTAATAAATGTTCGGCAGCACGCCGCTGTGGGTCCCGCCCTCTCTCTCTCTCTCTCTTTGGGGGAACAGCGAGGGAGAGAGGCAAAAGAATGTTCAAAATTATCATGTTTGATATCATATCCATTGATATATATATATCAACAAGAAATGTACATTTGATCACATACCATCATTCTCTAAAGTTTCATCCACTTAAAAAAATTTATGATTAATTCACCAAAAATACTTATCTAACTTCCATTTTTATTTTTCCATATGTCTTCCTTATAAAATTATGATAAAAAATATTATGTTTTACTCATGGTAAAAATTATGAACAAAAGATGAGTGAAAATAATAATCAAAAGCAGTACAGACAGAGACAGACGGTCAGATACTCCAAAATAAATGTATTGAGTAGACACCTAAAAGAAGTACTCAGAAAAAAAATAATACACAAGTACTGTTACTTGAATGAGATTGACCAAACACCATGTGATGTGACTTCAGGAAGGGATCAAAACAGCTTGGCAGAGTCCCCCCATCTTCCATCGACACTTGACTTTGACCTTCAAACTATTTTGAACTGTAGTTGGGTGTTTTTTCCTGCTGGACTTCTGGAAGAGTTTCTTTCCCAGAAGCTGCATCATAAATATTAAGAAGGTTAGGATTTGCCCAACCTTTTTCTTCCTTGCTGACAGATGAAAAGAACTCGAAGCCATGTCAAAAAGTTACTGAAACTGATTACAAAACTCATCTACTTCAATCCCTCCAACCATGATTCTCAATAAATAGTGGGACAGACACAATAGACCATTCAACAGCCAGTGTTTGATAATGCAAAGGGCACCAACCAGTAGATAAGATGGAGTATTAATAATATCCAGCACACTCGAGCTTTAGAATCTCCCATGGCAAACCTCACTGATGAGATGAGGTGCAAGAAAGATCCAACAAGCTTACAAGTTCAACCAAAGGTTGGGAGGAATCGAATGATGAGAGAGAGAGAGAGAGAGAGAGAGGTGAGACGTGTGTGCGAATTAAAAGTCTGACAGCAATGATTGCTAGGCAATGGTTGGAGACACACAAATATATTCTGTGAGATGGGTTGGTGAGCGCGGTGGTTCCGGTCGTAGGTGTAAGAGCAGGCCGACGCGCGATGAGATGAAGCTACAAAGAACAGACGAAAGGTTGAGGTCAAATCATCGAACACTTACACGGCATGGCATGTGATGTTTGCTTCGATTCCGCGAATCGCTCCGACGAACAAGCACGCATGTGACTGCCCAACTCATATGCTTGTCGGCGTATCAACGACTTCTCGTCCATCAAAGCTGCATTTAAATGTCTAAAATACCTCTAATGTTATTATAATTCTAATAAGTTTTTAAATGATATAATATCATTTAACTATCAAATGGTCGGTAGTCAATAAAGATTAATTATCATGACACATAAATATATATATAATAAATCAAAAAATAAAATCGCGGAAAATTATTTACGTAGAGGGATAATACGTACATGTAATTATGGCAGGTAAGTCTATTATGGGTCTTTTGCCTCAGCCAGTTATGGATCGGAAAGCCCAACATTCTACGTATTGGACTTGAGAGCCTGTGTTGAGAAGCTCATATTGGGCTTTAATTGGGCCCAATGTCGAGAACTCTCCTGTCAAGGAAACACAGTCGACAAGGCGCAGAGGAGGAGCGAGGGCAGTGATTCCAGTAGTTAGCTCTCGGAGCGCATCGTTTACTTCAGTTGATCCGTGGGGCGTCACGATCCAACTGTGTTTCTTTCTGTCACTGCAGTGATTAGGTGATTCACCATGATGAGATTGAATCCTTTGGCGGGGGAGAGAGAGAGAGAGAGAGAGAGAGTTGGGAATGGCGACATCCTCAGCTATGAAAAGCTCCCTTCCACCTCCTAAAAGCTCACAGGAAGAGGATCGGCATGTCCGAGCACCAAGAACCGTCGTCAATCATCGCCCATGGGGTCATTCACAGAGGACAATCTCAACGCCCTGCCCACATGGGAAGGAATTAGACTATTTCTCGTGGTATATCACGGGGATCCCCAGACATGGCCAGTGGAGCTCCCGAGGGCAGCGAAGATTCCGTCGCCACTAGCACTAGCAGATGTGGTAGGACTCCATGCTGGGGGTGGCTGCAGGAGATGGAAGCGCAGTGAAGCTGGGGGAGGCTCTGTCTCCGCTGGGCTGCACTGCACATGTGGGCAGAGACAAGGCTACAGTCCATGGCAACTCGGAACGGATGTGCTCCCACCTTCTCCAACAATGATGAACTCCAGTGGACATGGCAATACTCATGTAACTCAAGGACAGATGTTTACCTAGGGTTTGCAGTACTACCCAAAGGATCAAACCAGCTGTGTAAAGATCAGGCTTGTTCGATTGCCATACAGGAAATCCTGCGATGCATGTTCCCACAGAACACAGAGATTTTTCTTCGTTTACTTGTCATGTTGATCCGAGAGAATGCCAGCAACTTGGAACTAATCAAGCCTCGAATTGGAACGAGCAAATCTCGATCTCTCACACGTTCCAGCAAATATGAACTGCTTGATTCGGAGTTGATGTGCGAAGAAATGAAAGAGTGGTGCAAGATATTTCCGATCCTCCAATGTTCAAACACGCATGCACATGAGACTTCTTGACCTGCTGCCGATCATGTCGCACTAAACTTGGTTGACGCTTGACAGTACCGCACGCAGATGCATCAAAATGCACGCTGCAACGAGTTCTCAGTTGCCTGAAAGGAAGTTTCAGAATCCTCGACCACTATGAAGTCGTGACAACACAGATCTGCGAATCGAGTAGGCATTGGAATGGAATGGGTTCGTGTTCTGACATTAGACAGTGATTGATCGAGCTAAAGGAGAGGAGGAAGTTGATTCACCGTCGGAAACAGATCCCTGATTACTGAGAGAATCTATCTCCAGTTCCTGAGGGTGGCGACAGATCCAGTGAAACGGTCAACGGCAGAAGTTGCTTAATGCATGCCTTCCCTTGCTCTTTCCACATAGCCATCTAAGTATGTCCTCTCTCTCTCTCTCTCTCTCTCTCTCTCTCTCTCTCTCTCTCTCTCTCTGTACTTGTATTACTGTGGAAGCCCACAAGCATGGGCGAGCTATTACTTCTGAGACAAATTCTTTGATACCACGTAGCAACATGAATCCTTGGCGAGTATTAATCTCGTGTGATCATAAATATGCATGCAAGCATGCGTTGACTTCCAGCTTGCAGAGGAACACACACACAACAGTGATGGAGACCATCACAAGGCACTGCCTTCCCTGGTTGTTTATGTATATATAGACCATCACTCCTTTGGTCACATGCGCCATCATCCATCCCGCCACCCACCCATTCTAATGGGGTGCTTCGTCGGAGCTCCATCAGGCACCCCATCCTGCGGAGAATTTACTTGTGGTGTGCGTCGGGTTGTGTAGTGTACTTGGGACCGCCACTGACAACTTGCCCATGCATGCCTTGTTTGCTCAATCATTCAGCCTCTGATTCCCACATGGTACCGAGATTCCACAGTGGATGCAGCAGGTCAAGATCCTGTTCTCTTCTCTCTCTCTCGCTCGCTCACTCACTCTCAGTGCAAACTTGCCTGATGAGATGATGACAATAGTTGAAAGTTGTTTAGGAGGCTTCTCACTGTCTCTTTCCATCACATCCTTACCTAGCTTGCTCCCATGCTACAACTGCTGTTTTCTTGAATTTTGAGTGTGCTTGGTGGGCAGCCAAAATATGACCCAGGAATAGTGAGCGATCTGAAGCTATCTTTTGGTCTTTCAGTAGGTCATAGGATCTGTTTATCTTGCCCATCTCCGTCAATGAAGTATGGTGAGGTGGGAAGGAGAAAACGCTTGTAGACCATTAATTACTACACCCTGTAAAAAGAAAACGCTTCCCGGAATTGTGGGCAACAGATCCTTGAATCATCATCAAGTAGTATTTGTGGCCCTACTGACTACTTGTGTAGGATCTAAGAATAACATCATGGTTGATCTGCTACCTGTCCTTGTGGTGCAACATCTCTCATGTACCACTGCTCATTGGTTTAGCTATCAACAAGCAAATGCATGAATATTGATTTCACTTAAAACTGTAATAATCCTTGTCATTTAACACAGAAATCAAACTAGTGTATGCCTATCCAAACCAAGTTAATACATGGAAACTAGGAAAAGAAAAGATGGTAGGCATCTCTCTCTCTCTCTCTCTAAATAAATATGAGTCAGTCAGCAAGGAAAAGAAAAAGAAAAGCATATACATATAAACATATTGCCGGTGAAACCATGAAAACCCCTTCCTTTTCGATCTCTTACCTTCTTGTTCATCGATCCAAACACCACTGCCTCATGTTGGTAGGCGAGAGGAGGCCATTAGCGACAGTTCTCGTCGGTCTTGCAGCATAGCTCGATATCTTGAGCAATCCTCAATGCATCCAGTGATGCTCCAAGCAAGCCTCGTTTGGTGAAGCCGACCGCGTAGAGTCCGTTCCGCCCTTTCCATCCGTTTGGGAATGGCCTCCTCGGCAACCCATCCTTCTCCGAGAAGAACTCCCTCTCCTAAAACAATGGCAGGAAACCCTCCGTGTCAGAGATATATAATGCATCATGGGTACGGAGTAGATGGAACAAGACGATGAGTACTTGTAGCCAACGAGGTACGTTGCTCTGGTAGCCGGTTGCCAAGATTACCACGTCGAATTCTTCCACCGTGCCATCGGCGAATTCTGCTCCATGTTCCATGATCCGCCTTACGGCAGGGCGCACCTGAATTCCATGGAATAAGATGCAATGATAAGAGGCATGGAAGCACTTTGTCGATCGAGCGAGGTGGAGTATGTCCTACTCGACGAACCTTAATGTCCCCAGACTTGATCTTTGCTAGGGTGCCGACGTCGAGGACCGGGGTCTTGCCGGAGTGGGATTTCAACTCGAGGGGGCCGAGCTGGGGCCGGCGGAGGCCAAATTTTGATGTGTCACCGAGCACGAGGCGTGCGACGAACAGCAGGAATCGATCCACCGTCTTCACGGAGAGCCACTTGAGGAGCCACATGGACAGCCCGAACGTGGAGCGGCCGAGCATCTCCCGGGGCAGGATGTGCACCTGTACGACGTAAAGTAACGCCACAAAGCGATCAGAAGGCGAGCGTAGATGAGCTGTTTCCTATAATCTTTGGCCATCATATGGTTTATCGTGGCCGAAATAGGAACAGATATGCATATGATGATCGCCTGATGTTTAGCGTTGGAATTGAAAGATCGAGGAGGTTGGTTTGGTCGCGGCGATCGGGATTCATGCATTTGTTGATGATGATACTTTGGTTATGGTAGCAGCCAGAATGAAAGAAAAGCTCAAAAAGGAGATGAACGGATGGAGAATCCATCTGTCTTGGCATGCCAAGAACTCGATTCTGTAGTGATATGATTCCTCGAAAGTGGAAAACGCACGTGAATTGGGTTTTGATGACACAACGATGATAAGGAGCAAAGCCATGGATGACTCACCGAGTCTCTTACGACCATGGAAGGGTGCGCATTGTGGTTGCAGAGATCCAAGGAGACCTCCATCCCCGAGTTGCCGCAGCCGACGACGAGCACTCTCTTGTTGCGGTACACGTCGCCCCTCCTGTACAAGCTTGTGTGCACGACGGGCCCCTTGAACTCTTCCAACCCGGCGATCTCCGGCACGACGGCCTCGGCGTTCTCGCCAGTAGCCACCACCACCCACCGGCACACGTACTCGGTCCTCTCCTTCTCGCTTCCTCCTCCCGACGACACCGTCCTCACCCTCCAGAAGCCGGCGGCGGCGTCGTACTCGGCGGCCACCACCGAGGCGTTGAACACGGGCTGGATGTCGAATTGCCGCACGTAGGCCTCGAGGTAGGCGACGAACTGCTGCTTGGTGGGGTACGTCGGGAACCACGAGGGGAACGGCAACAGGGGGAGCTCGCAGAACCGCTTCGGGAGGTGGAGGCGGAGGCGGTCGTACGTCCGGAGTTGCCACAGCGATGCGATGCAGTTGGATCGTTCGAAGATCAAGCTGGGAATGCCTTTGTCCTTGAGGCAGGCGGCGACCGCCAACCCCGACGGCCCAGCCCCGACGACGATAGGCCCCGGGAAAAGCACGCGCCGCTCTGCCTTGGCGCCGATCATCGCAGGCTTCATCGACATGAAATGGCGGCTGAAGTTGCCTCGTTGGTGATGACAGTAGAACGGATCGTGGACACTCTTGCATTCAGCCTCCATCCGACAGTCATCCACAGAGGCCCACTCCCGATCAGCTTTCGGCACGAGGACTAACCAGTCTCTAGCAGTCCTGGAGGTTACCGCGAGCACCTTGGCTTCGGACTCCAGGAGGAGAAGGGAAGGCAAGGGAAGGTGAATGAAGAAGGAGGAGAGAGACGAGATTTGGCGAGCATGGGATATTCTTCCTGAGCTGTTGGTAGTTAATGGATCAGAGGGATTCTATCGCTCTTATCCAAACACAGATTAGAGTGAGAGAAAAATGGGGGACTTCGTATCCAGCCTTATCCGTTCGTGGAGCTCCGGCGGAGGAAGCGGAAGGGTGCGAGCCGAGCCCAAGTGAAGCAAAAGGGAGGAGGAGGAGAGAGAGAGAGAGTAGTGGTGCGGTAAGTGTTGCAGTCGGGCTATTTATGCTTGCCATGGGGGAAACTTGGACATGTAGACGTGACACATCGGTAACTTGGCATAACCATTATTACTGGGGCATAATAATAGATGCAGTGCATATGAGCGAACTATTGCTTTTGGGGGGGATGCAGTGGAAGCGCGAGGGCTAAGATCTCCTTCTGGCCCTCAGTGACTTAATATCTTTATATGATCTGTGAGGAAATGGTGTCCTCAGGTTAGAAGAGCACATGCAGCAAGGCTTGTGCGCCCTGAGGCTACGACAAATTTATGCTGCTCCCCTCATCTTTGGAAATTAGTATGGTTATGCAGTCACATCCCCACTATTTATCTGATTCCATGAAAGAAAAATTAGAAGACTTATTATCAGTGTGATATGACATAATATCTGCATCAACCAACAGTGTGCAGTGCAGTCCCAGTTAAGAAGCGTACGAGACTGCTTTGAGAGAGAGAGAGAGAGACGTGGCCAGGGAAACCACAAAGTTCCAAAGCTGAGAGACTGAAATCTAGGATGAGCGACCCATCACAAAAAAAAGCTGTCACCCCAAGCACGAGCAGATTCAATTCAAGTACTCGCCATGATGAATGAACTAACCGGATGCATGTGTCTTCTTCCCAACGATCGTCTTCTCCATCCTTGTTACCTTCGTCACCCAACGCAAGACAAGCACAAGTCCAAAGGAATAAGGCTCAGACCTAGCTAAGGCCCTGTGAGGCTCCCCCACCCTACGTTGCCGTGCGGAGGAGTGGCTTGCATGCGGTGCTAAAGACCAAGCATTACAATCCACTCGAGGCATCCCTTTTCTCTCCCGCTGTCACAGCATGACAGTTGAGATCTGTCCTCAGCTGATGAGGAATCAAAGAGATGGATCTCTCTCTCTTTGCGGACTGATTCAGGTTTCTGAAGCTCTATTCTGAGTTATACCAGCAGATACTGTGAAGGAGGAATTCCTACGAGCTGCATTCTTCCAAGGCTCAAAAGAGACTTGCAGGTGGACCACTGGTGAATGGTGACCGGAGGAAGACGAAGATAAGAGGGACAGCATGTCATTCTACATGATAGGTGTCTAGATCAAGCAAACAGTAAGGCAAAGGCAACATACTGTTCCTGTAACCCACTTCATCTTTGCAGAATCAAAGTAAAATTGGCATAATGCAACAAAGACATCATTCTACCCAACTATTAAATTCCATACTTCACCATTAAATTCTCCATCTCCCACACTGTCAGATTAGCAAAATCCCTAGAGGTCCATAGTCTTTACCAAATGTAGAACGCTCACAGATACAGAAATAGGCTTGCGCCGCCATTTCTTATACCATGGAATGGCTCTCAAATGCTGAGGTCCAGTACTGATTTAAGTAGTCTTGCTGGATCAAACTGTGGCCCCACCACCTCACAAAAGCTCACTGTGCTGCAGTTTTGTGTTCTATCGTCTGGTTGGCCAAGGACTCTCTCTCTCTCTCTCTCTCTCTCTCTCTCTCTCTCTCTCTCTCTCTCTCTCTCTCTCTGTGTGTGTGGCACTCCTTGCGGAACTAATCCGCTAGTCTCCTCCTCGTCCAACCTTAAAAGTAAAATAAGCTCGCTCATCATTTCAATGATTGCGACTGCTATATGCTCGATGTCGTCTGGGTCTCTGGGAAACCCTCTAGACCGACAAGATCAGCTTCGGAATCATCGTGTTGGAAAATCCAACGATTCATCGAAAGCTTGGCAGTAGAGGAAAAAATGAGTGGCTCAATCCACCAACATGTGGAACCGGAAGAGATCCCAGGTTTGATAATGATGATACTAAAGAAAGACTCCCCGATTCCCATCATTCCAGTAAGATAGCAATCCGCTGCCTTTGTCGGATCGAAGAACTTCCGCTATACCGATAGGATCATTACACCACCCACAAGATCAAAGTACCATCTCAAAGATATCAGTCGCCGCTCAACATTGCAACCGAAGAGGTTAAGAGATGAATAAGGTTTTATGAAGAGTCAGTAACCCAATTCCATATTGAAAAAGCCAACACTAACCAATACGCTTTGGTTTTAGGAACTCGAAGATTAAAACCCCCAATAGATCATCAATTCGTCCACTCCACCGTGAGCTTTTTACAGAGAGGGAGGTGAGGAATATACCCCATACGCTTTGAGTAGTGATTAGACAATGGGGTTGCATCTCACGAGTGCGTCCGCTTTGCGGTAGTAGCACATTTCATGATGCAGGATCCTGGAAAGGTGTGGCATCACAAACATTTTGTACTTCCACCATGAGAGACAGAGAGAGCAATTCCACTGGTAATAGGATGACAGGAGAGAACCTATCAGAGTTGGGCAGGTCGGTATGAAGACTAGTGTTGTTAGGTAGATGGGAGTCTGCTGACTTTTAGAGACAAAGAGGAGAGCAAAGTTGATGTTGGTGGGAGATTTTAGCATCGGAGTCAGCTTCACTCGAAGAATAATGTTGCAAAAAGGGATGGTTTGGATTGGTACGCACAGCTTCGGTGTGAAGGGAATGAGTCAGTGAACATTTGTGGGCGATTAGAGAACTCCTAATGAGGAAGAGAAAGAGGCACTAAAAGTTATCCTGCTGCTGCAAGAGTCAAGATGTCTGAGACACAATAGCAACGAATTGATTCCGGCATCCTTTAGCTTCAAGTGTAGATTAATGCCAAACATGATACTAGTGAGCATTACCAATCCAAGTGCACTGTCACTAGGCAGAAGATTTTGATAATGCTGGGTGATTATGGAGGTGATCTAGACATATATGCTTAATGCTATCCATCTCCTCTTCATTCAAATGCATTTTTAATCTGACGTATACAAAGAATATTCTACCTCACTTCGACGAACAACCAAAATTCATTTTTATCTATTATATCAGACGAAATTAATGAAGAATAAATTCAGGACGAAAGCAGGTCATGATTTACCTACCACCCACCCAATCTTCTCTAACTTGAGAGAACGGCTGAATGATTACCACTAGTGTCAGCCTAAGCAGAGTTAATATCAATAACAAGATAAGCCTCATTTGTTATGGAATATCAATATCATCTATATCTCATATTTCATTGTTATGCATAACAAGTTATCCATAATATCAAACAACCATGGAGCAAATCTTCGTTTTCCTTCAATATAATATGTACTTTCAAGATCTCCAATCAAAAAAGTTGATTCAAATCTATTATCATATCAGTTTAAACACCCTGATAACTGTAAGATCTAGTGTCTCTCATGAACAGAAAGATTAATATTCTAGGAGTATTGTCGTCGCAAGTGGGGTACCTACGTACCTACCTACCCCATGGTGACCAGGGTTAAGGAAGAAAGAAACGGCCTACAAGGACCCTTACACCAACTTGTATGTTGAGGACTACTGTTTCAAGATCTTTGAAATCACAAAAGCCATTTCTTCATATCCCCTCCATTCTGTCGACATAATATTTGACACTACAAAAGCAATTCTATGATTTGCTTTTGTCAGCCAGAACACCAAATAACTTTGCAGTAGAAATCATATAGGAAGGCTCAAGGGTAGAGAGTATCAACTCAGCTGGATAGCATCATGGTACTGCAGAGTGATGTGTCGATCCCTCGTCACACCAGGAGCTCCTCAAGTACAGCAGTGAACAATCACCACCATGACCTTGATAAGAAAGGCATCATGAAAAGAAAAGACTAGGGAGGATAATCTGAGATTCCACATCCAGTGAGATACCCCTCGTCATATGTCACCATCAAAGATCTGGTTTTGGTCCTCCCTGAAAGCTATCATATCGGTTCTACTGGGATCCCACCACCTCTGTACATCCCAAATTTTAGACCTTACAACCTGCTGACAAAAACAACCACTCCATCCCTGGGTGTCTTCATGTACCAAACAGGCCCTGATCCACCTGCTTCGTGCAGGAAACTTTTAAAAGTGAAGACAGATCATCCAGCAACCAATCACAGGATTAATTTTCCTAATTCATACCTCAGCCCTTCAACTTGATACTCTTAGGTAGGAAATTTAAGCCTTTAGATACAAAGATGAAATTGATGTTCCAGTTGTGCCATCAGTGTTTCCCTAGCAGCAACATAACATAATACTAGTGTTGATAAAACTTGCAGGAACCTTAAAAGCAACATACTTGTCAAAAACCAATAACTACCAACGGATACAGATCTAATATTAGCACTTCCATATCTTAATCCATGAATAGCAAACGAAACATAGACATATATACAAGTGGTTCACTTGTTAAGTCAAATAATATTGGATGAAGCTTGTAAGAACCTTAAACATGTCAAAAACCAAAAACTACCGAGGGATACAAATCTAATATTAGTACTTCCACATCCTAATCGATGAATAGCAAACTGGACATGGACATATATACAAGTGGTTCACTTGTTAAGCCAAATAATATATACACACACACACAAATAGAAGAAGACAAGAAGGATTGATTTGCTTTCTCCAAGAAAGTTATATGATAAAGTTCTAAAGAAGTATGGTATATAACTAGTTCTGCTCGTATAGGATGGACCAATGACAAATATTGTTTATGTATTTGATTGTATTAATTGATTAGAGTAGAGCATAAATTGCACTGTATACTAGAGCTATCAACAC